TGGACAGGGAGAAAAAAAGAGCGGGCATACAGTATAGCATTGCAAAAGGTGCAAGATCAGGGAGAGGAAAACGAGAAGCCTCACTGATCTCTGTATTTTTACTACCACTCGTGCATAGCGGCAACTTTTTTTATGTATATAAAAAAGAGGAGAGGCAACTCACTGCTGAGACAGCATTTGAGCTACTCTGGAGCTTACCAGAGAAGTCAACCAATATTGATGGTGCCTTGAATAGTGTTAAGAATCAACATTGGCTTTCCGCAAGCATTCACCACCTGAACTTCACTGGCACACTCAAGCGGCAAAAATTAAGAGCATATGAAGTACATGCGCAATGTGTATAACATTCCACTAAGCGCGAATAGCTCCACATCATTTCATAAAAAAATGTAAATTGTCTCAAGTGGACTGGCACACTTGATGAAAGTGGTCCAAGTGAGATATATGAGCCCCACTTTTTTCTTCATAATAAAACACTTTTTGACATTCAGATTGGCTTTTCGCGGAAACTATAAGTAATCAACAATCCACACAAAGTTTTTTTAGCGTGATAACATTTTTTCTCTCATTTTGTCCTGCTAAGAGTTAATATTAGTTAGGTGGTAGCAGCAGTGAGAGCAGCAAGTAATAATCACATAATCTCACAAATAATGTATTTATTTTAAGTTATCTATGTATTCTCTATGCTCTGGATTGTCAGGGCATTCCAAATGATAACAATGCAGAAAGAAAGTTAACAAATAAAATGTGTGGTGATGTTTGATATTAGCTATAAGTTATGAATATAAAACCCAATACAAACTAAAACAGACAAAAGTAAAACAAAAGTAACGAAAACGAAAATGCACAGAAATAATTTCAGACTGTTGTACAGCCTGCTAATGACAAAACATAAACATAAAAGAAATATTGCAAGAGGGGTGGAAAAAAAGAAAAAAGTAATAATGCAAGAAAACCCGGTACATGTAAAAAAACAAAGGGGTGATGACCAAATAAATTAGAATATTAGGTAAGATTAACATAATGAAGAATACACAAATAAAGAACATTTTTGGCTACTATACACAATCTGATTTTTTAAAAACTCTGTTGCATTTAGGAATGAAATATAAAATATTCTGACTGGGAAAAAATTTTTTAATTCAGCCTCTCATTTTTGCAGAAATATATATACAGTCGAGCCCGCTTATAACGAACCTGAGCGTGACGCGGCATTCATTCGCTGTATCCCGAAGTTCGTAGTAAATGAAACACAGTTTTTAAAAAAAGTTGCGAGTGAAAACATAAACTTTTTTTGCCCCGAAAAGTTCGTGATGCACGTGTTTTGAAGAGCAAAAGCGATAAGGGCGGTTTCGAGTTCATTTAAAACGGCAGGGTGCTCGTTCACGAGGCCCTTGGCATAAGCTGCATGAGGCACTGGCTCCAAAGTTTCGTCATTCTTGCGATCCGATTCCTCCAAATCGCTCTCGACACGTACTTCATTCACAATGCTCCAATCCGTGCACGATTCCGCAGTGTCGGCATTATCATTGACCGTAATTAAACCATCGCAACAGATGTCCCACCTGCTCTCCCAGGTTTTCCTCAAATCGCCGCCACAGTTCGGAAGCTTCAGGCTCGGCATCGGGCCCGACATCAACGAAATTGGACTCGCGAAAACAGTTTCCTGTGCATGTAGTTGCCACCGCCACCCATGAAACATTCACCATCTCCGCAGCTGAATACCGGCACACCCGAAGCGGCAAGCTAGCTGCCAGGTGGTCAACAGCTATGAGCAAGCGCTCCGGAACGCGACACCTAACGCGCGGATTGCGCTCAAGCCAAGCAGTCACACTTTCGACGCTTTGTTGAGCGGCAGGAAAAAGCGTGCAAGTCCTCTGATCTGCCATCCTGACCACACACGCACATCAAAATCGAGCAAGACGCGCACAAGCGAATCACAAGCCAGAACACGCGGAACAGCTCTGGGCCCGTTTCTAGTCAGAAAACGAAACTAATTCGAGCCAGCGTGGCGGGCGTCGTGGAGTAGAGGAGACGGGCGAAGGGGCTGTGATCAAGAGAAGAGAGCAGACTTGCGAGAGAAGGGCAAGGAGTTGCAATAAGTGAGGGGAGGATGTGGCGGGAGGGCGACCTTGAAAACCAAAACAGAAAGGAAGGAGGCAGTTTGGGTAGCTTGCTTGATAGGTCCGTGAAACTCGCACGTAGAAAAAATGAGAAAGACTGCCTGCGTGCTCTGAAGTCAAAGCATGGCTGCCTGGATCAGTGCGCGCGAGTGTCCGAAGAATCGGTGGCCGTGGTCAAAAAATATTTTTGTTGCGCCGGCGGGTTTGCATGGCCTCACGAACTTCGATATTTCGCGATTCGTTCCATGAAATTAACAGCCATTTTCTCGCTTCTGCACGCGCGCGGAAGGCATGCCGAGCTGAGTGTGAAGTGAGGGAGAACAAGTCCTAAACACGAAATGAATCACAAATTATTAGAGTCGGTGGGGTAGCGTACGTGAGTGCACTAGATGCAGACAATCGGATACAGTCAGCGGCCGACGATGTTGGCAAATAAATGGTCTGGTCACTCCAGGCGGGCGATGCCAACGACAGTACCAGTGATTAAAATTAGGGTAGACGGCCGACCGGTCTTCGAAAGATCGGTGGCTGTGTGAAAATGCGGGCCTCGTCTGGTGATGCGGGGCGCTCAGAGTAGCGAGGGGACAAAGGATAGATTAATGCATAACAAATGGAGGAAGGAAACAACTTTCCTTTCTCCATGGGTTGGGCAGAGCAGCAACTAGAGGGTCACGGAGGCAGGGTCGGCGTTTAACAATAAGAATGTATGGGCACCTTGCCGATCCTTGATCCGTGGTCGAAATTGGTTTCCTGGGAAGTTTGCAGACCGCTGACTCTGTTCACTGTAACCGATCAGCGGTGCTCGGAGACGTTCGTTGTAAGTGCGATCTTGTGCCATTGAACCAATGTATATTTTCATGGTCATGCGGATATTGTTCATTTTAAGTGAAAGTTTGTTTTAAGTGGGGCCGTTATATGTGGGCTCGACTGTATTAAAGAAAAAGTGCAGAATCAAGTTTACCCTTCTGTAATTCAGTTAATAGGAGTATGTGATTACTGTAAACCACGCCTGCTAGAAGATGTAATGCAGGAGATAGTTATTCACTGATCTAAAATTTCATGGCACTGGCGAGTAGAAGTTTTTGTCAAACTCTGTCAACATTTTTGTAACTGCTCTACCAGATCTCATGTGAGTTGCAGACTGACACTTAACTTAAATACAGTTTGCACTACTACAATATTTGTGTTTCTGTATGCATGGAAAGAAAAAAAATGGAATAAATGTCACGTGAGAATTCAACCATAAAAAATAAAACAGGAGCATGATGTGATATGTGACCAATGCATGGAGAATGAGGCCTCAGAGGCTTGCGGATGGTAGGCCCGCTTCCTCCTATTTTTTTTCCTCTTTGCCTGTATCGGCTAAGTTATACTTCAGCATTTTCAGAACACCTCATCACACCTGTTGAGGCTAGCTCTATCACTTTAGCAATGCTGAGCTGTGAAACAAGTGGGCGCCTGTCACTTAGCTAAAGGTGCTTCGCTTTAGTGTAGAAAAAGTGATGATGCATAGTTATCGAAAGACATGAGGTCATTCGTTAACGAACAAGATGGACACACTATGTTTACAGCCCACAAGGGCGGAGAGCAAGTAAGAAGCACGGAACACATCAAAGAGTAAAAAACTCACGTAAAACCCTGAGAAATAAAGTTGCAAGAGTTTCACCAAATCATGTAAAAAGTCACAGACGCCGTAGACTCACATTTAGGAGGCAATGACATTGCAGAGGTGACTAAATGCGATGGCACATGCTGGAAGCGGTGGAGGACAATGGCCGGACGCCCTTTCGGCATTCACCAGCCAAAGCTCTGACTCTATTGTGAAGATGCAGTCGGGCTCAGATCATGTGTCTTTGCATCGATCTTAAGATGCCTCATATCGCGAAGAAGCCTGATGCTTGAGGTGGTGCCAGGTGGGAGCCTACTGCAGCAAGCATCAGCCAGGTATGTGGCTGGCCACTACTCACGTATCCTAGACAGTCTTCTCTCGGCCGTGTCTGCCCTGCGACTCCCTTTGACTTTCCAGTCTCCTCTTCTGAACAACTGTGGAGTGTGCTCATGGTGGCGTCTTTCTTGTGCCACTTGTAGCACATGCAGAATTTTATCTTCGTCGTTGTCCTCTAAATACATCCCGTCACATTCCGCTTGCGCACATCATCACAATGCCCTACACTGTAGCCAATTGCTGCAGCACCAACGACATGCGCTACAATGCAAACCTCAGGAACATGCATACAGAGCTGCTGCGGTGGACGTATGCCATGAATATGAGATCTTGCTCCCATACAAGTAATGCTGGAATAGTTTGCCGCAACATGGTGCGTACAGGATAAAATGGGATTGTGGCCATGCAGGTGCTGGCTGTGCATCCAAGGTGCCATACTCACCAGTTACGTCTTGTAGTCAGACATCAGTTTTTGGCCATCGTCACACAGGGAGCCCAACGCACGCAGGTGGCCTTCTTATGTTTCAGTACATCCTCACTTGAAGCATCATGCCTTACTTTGTTCTTGTAATTTTTTACTGGTTCTGTAAAAAAAATGTGGGGCATTGAGTGAAAATCTTGTTATGTTTGAGTATGTTCTCACTTGAAGCAGCATGCCTTACTTTAATCTTGTAATTCTTGACTGGTTTCATAAAAAAAAGAATGTGGGACATTGAGTGAAAAGATTCTTTCCTACAGTCAGTGAAGTTTATATTGCTCTTGCGACTGCAAAAATTTTCATTTCTTATTTATACGTGATTTGTTTGTAATTAGCACACCATTTAGATGAACGGGCGGGAATTTCGAAATGCTGCCAGTAAAATTTGCTGGACACGCTCACAAGGATGAGCTCTGCTAAATGCTAACATAAATGGTTCTGCTCTCTGACACAGGACTTGGACCCACAGGGCCAAGAAGTGAGTGTGTTCCGGGCAGTGGTTGTGCCCCACCATTCGGAGAAGGCAGTTCGAGCTCTGGTGAATGAGGCTGCAATCAAGGAGCTGCTCGACTCTGCGAGTCGTGCCACAGCAGAGTACATGCGCACTGTTGCTGCTGCCCTGTGCAATCCGAGACACCCTGTCAACGTGATTATCTACCCGCTAACTGGAGCTCCCTTGACAGAAACACTTGACAAGGGAAGAGAGAAGGTATCTCAGCTATGCGCTTATGTTTCGGGATCTGTCAGTGTCGAAGTCAGAGGCAAGCTGTGTTATTCTGCACTTAAGCACAATATTTCACATTGTGAACACATCCACACATAAACGAGACACAAAAATACCTGTTTATATGTGTTTAATACAGCCATATAATATAACTGTCCAACTATAGGCTTGATTTTTTTTGTAAACACATTACTTTAAGATGGGCTTTTCGTAAGTTCTCTTTCGCAAGCAAATCTGGGATAGCCATGCACCATCATGAGGGCACGACTTGAGAAAAAATCAAGGGTGCAAATGTGTTTGCCGTGGGTGTGATCTACTGAAATCTCATTGGCTGTTCTGTTGAATGTGCTTTTGTTGTCAACATATTTGCACAGCGCAAGACTACGAGTAGTTATGACGTAACTACAGAAGAAGAGACAAGGACAGAAAGAGCACTGACTTCAACTGAAGTTTTATTAGCGAAACACTGGAAACATATACTCGTGACAGAACATCACCGTGCAATCGTGCAAACTATTGCATCACAGCAAGATAATCATCATCTCATTATTTGGTTACAACGCCACAGCTCAACACAAGTTCACAATCTATTGTGTCAAAGCCAGAAACTCGATTTCTTTTTTAGTCAGAGCAAGTGGAGGTATGCTGATACATCGATCACCCAGCAATTGCATTTCATTGACCTCCATAATCTCTCGTGTTATCTGGTGATGGTGTTTGGCTACAACAGTTCACTTTTCAAGTTCCGGTCTGCAACCACATTCTCCACAATGGATGCCCAAATGACCTTGCACAGCTGAGTGTACTTTGTAATGATGCTCCTTTAAACGTTCATTCAGGCACCGGCCCGTTTGCCCAACATATCATCATCATCATCAGCCTGACTACGTCCACTGCAGGACAAAGGCCTCTCCCATGTTCCGCCAGTTAACCCGGTCCTGTACTTGCTGCTGCCAATTTATACCCGCAAACTTCTTAATCTCATCTGCCCACCTAACCTTCTGTCTCCCCCTAACTCGCTTGCATTCTCTTGGAATTCAGTCAGTTACCCTTAACGACCAGCGGTTGTCCTGTCTACGCGATACATGCCCGGCCCATGTCCATTTTTTCTTCTTGATTTCAGCTATGATATCTTTAACCCCCCGTTTGTTCCCTAATCCACTCTGCTCTCTTCTTGTCTCTTAAGGCTACACCTATCATTTTTGGCAATCTACCTGTCATAATTTGAGAGTGCTTGCCAAATGTGCTCCACCACATTCTTATTCTTCTAGTTACTTCAATCTCGTGGTTCAGCTTCGCAGTTATTACCTGCCCTAAGTAGACATAGTCTTTCACAATATGAAGCGCACTATTATCTAACCACTACGCCTATGCTCTAACCCCTACCCCATGGCCGCTGGAATTGAAGCATTTATACATAAATGTATGGGTTGGCACAGAGTCAAGCATGGATGCAGGGAACATTTATAGATAAAAGGGAAAGTAGCTGGGCAGATTACACTCCTTGGTTTGGTGTACTTGTAGATGGGAGAAAATGCCAAAGAGGAAAAAAAGGCAATGATAGAATGTATAACAAATGTAACGGGGTTACATTGAGGAATAAGGAGAAGAGTGTGAGATAATTATCTAGGAGATATGAATGTGCACATAGAAGATATAGATGGGTATAACGACCCAACAGGCGAAATGATCAGGGATATGTGTAAAAGGCATGATTTGATCACTTGCAACAGTACTGAGAAGTGTGAAGAGCAAATAACATGGGAGGTAGGAAAGCTGCAGTCGACGATATTACGCACTGATGTCATATAGAATGTTAATAAGCTCAGGAGAATGCACATAGATGAAGGTGGCTCCAGAAGTCTCGGTAGTGATCACAAACGTATCAAGCTAAGTTTTGGAAGAGCAGCGAAAGTGGGAAGGAGACAAAATGAGCAACTACAGGAAAATTTTTATTCATAAAGGCAAATAGAAATTGCTACTGAACAAATTGAGAAAGTAATTACAGAGGATAATAAAACAGTGTGGACATACAAGAATTTAATCAGACTATTTGAGCTAGAGCTTGCTAAAACACATGATAAGTCACCCCGAAAAAGAAGGCACAAACACAAAAGTTGGTTGGTTATTACCTGCCCTAGGTAGACATAGTCTTTTACAACTTGAAGTGCACTATTACCTATCTCGAAGCGCTACTCTTTTCCGAGGTTGTTGTACATTACTTTCGTTTTCTGCAGATTCATTTTAAGACCCATCTTTCTGCTCTCCTTGTCTAACTCCGTAATCATGAGTTGCAATTCATCCCCTGAGTTACTCAGCAATGCAATGACATCAGCGAAGCGCAGGTTACTAAGGTACTCTCCATTAACTCTTATCCCTAACTGTTCCCATTCTAGGCTTCTGAAAACCTTCTGTAAGCACGCGGTAAATAGCATTGGGGAGATTGTGTCCCCCTGCCTTACACCCTTCTTGATTGGTATTCTGTTGATTTCTTTGTGAAGCACTATGGTAGCAGTTGATCCCCTGTAGATTTCTTCCAGAATGTTTATATATACTTCATCCACGCCCTGACTCCGCAGTGTCTGCATGACGGCTGATATTTCTACTGAATCAAACGCCTTCTCGTAATCTATGAAGGCTATGTGTAGTGGTTGGTTATATTCTGAGCATTTATCTATTACCTGATTGTATGATTGTATGATTGATAGTATGAATGTGGTCGATTGTTGAGTAGCCTGTTCGAAATGCTGCTTGTTCCTTTGGTTGATTGAATTCTAATGTTTTCTTTACTCTGTTAGCAATGACCTTTGTAAATAGCTTGTACACTACAGAGAGCAAGCTAATCGGCCTGTAATTCTTCAAGTCCTTGTCATCTCCTTTCTTATGTATTAAGATGATGTTAGCGTTCTTCCAAGACTCTGGTACTCTTTCCGTCAGGAAACACCTCGTAAACAGGGTGGCTAGTTTTTTTAACACAATCTGTCCTCCATCTTTCAGCAGATCTGATGTTACTTGATCCTCACCAGCAGCTTTGCCTCTTTGCATGCTCTCCAAAGCTTTTCTGACTTCTTCTATCATTACTGGTGGGGTGTCATCTGGGTTACTGCTAGTTCTTATAGTATTAAAGTCGTGGTTGTCTCGGCTACTGTACAGATCTCTGTAAAACTCCGCTATTTTAACTAACTAGCTTCTCCGCTATTTTAACTATCCTATCCATATTGGTAGTTATTTTACTTTCTCTATCCCTTAGTGCATACATACGATTTTTGCCTATCCCAAGTTTCCTCTTCACTGCTTTGACGCTTCCTCTGTTTTTCAGAGCGTGTTCAATTCTCTCCATGTTATACCTTCTTACATCGGATACCTTACGCCTATTAATCAACTTCGAAAGCTCTGCCAGTTCTATTTTGTCTGTTGTACTTGAGACTTTCATGATTGGATGCTTTCACTGCACACTCCGTAATAATACTCGTCAGATTATCATTCATTGTATCTATGTGAAGGCTAGTTTCCTCACTAAGAGCCGGGTACCTGTTTTGAAGCGAGACTCTGAATTCCTGTACTTTCCATCTCAGTGCTAGCTCATTGATTGGCTTCTTGTGTATCAGTTTTTGTCGTTCCTTTCTCAAGTCTAGGCAATTTCGAGACCGTACCATTCTATGGTCACTGCATCGTACCTTGCCAACCACTTCCACATCCTGCACGATGCCTGAGTGTGCACTCATTATAAGGTCTATTTCTTTCTTATTTTCGCCATTAGGGCTCCTCCATGTCCACTTGCGGTTTCCTCGTTTTCGGTAGAAGGTATTCAAAATCCGTAAATTATTGCATTCTGCAAATTCTACTAGTAGCTCTCCTCTGGCGTTTTTAGTACCGATGCCATAATCTCCTACTACCTGGTCTCCAGCCTGCTTCTTCCCTACCTTTGCATTAAAGTTTCCCATCAGTATTGTATACTGTGTTTTTACCTTACTCATTGCCGATTCCACGTCTTCATAGAAGCTTTCAACTGAAGCGTCATCATGGCTGGATGTAGGTGCGTAAGCCTGTACCACCTTCATCTAGTATCTCTTATTCAGTTTAATTATGATACCTACCACCCTTTCATTAATGCTATAGTATTCCTCTATGTTGCCAGCTATGTTTCTGTGAATTACGAACCCCACTCCCAGTTCTCTTCTGTCAGCCAAGCCCTGATAGCAAAGGACGGGCCCATTCTGTAGCACCGTATAGGCCTCATCTGTCCTCCTAACCTCACTAAGCCCTATTATATCCCATTTAACATCCTCTAGCTCCTCGAATAGTACAGCTAGACTTCCCTCACTAGATAACACTGCCCAACATATATCTTGCCGCATACAACGGGAGCAAATAAACCACGTCTATCACACATGCTACAAATAGCCTTCCTTGTTTGATCGTGCAGCAGCTCCATTGTGCGGACTGCGCATTCACCCGTTTGAAAGCGCTGAAAGCTTTTTTGGGGCAGAGAAAACCACCTTCACATCTACGTTATCACCTATCTTTTTCAAATTGTGAGAAATTCTATGTAGATAGGGAATCACACCCATGCGCTTTGAGATACTAGCCACGCAGTTCACTGGTGCTTCTCGTCCCTGTTTAATCGTCTTAAGCAACTTTTCCGCCACCGAGACCAGCACATGATCGGGAAAACCAGTGCTGATCGGATGGGAAGCCTGCTCAACAAAGCTACTGATTAACGAGTGGCCACAAGGCTTTTGAAGGGCATTTCTTAAACAATGATTAGCAATCCCTCTCTTTATGAGCTTTGAATGAGCCATTGAGTACGGTAGAAGAGGTTTTCGTCCTCTGGGCTCATATTCCCAGCAAAGGTGATCACTTGAGATGTTTAATCTCAAATCTAAAAACCTTAACGTAGCATCCTGCGGAAGCTCATGTGTTAGAATAAGAGGTGCCATGCACTCATCCAAAAGACGTAATACGTTTGAAACGGCAGCTTCGAA